GGGGGGGGGGCCTCCCTCCCTGGTACATATATAAGTACAACATCTCACTCACACAGCCCTGACCCTGTCGTTACTACAGCTGCGCGGGGTATCGAAGGTGCTATATTTTTCCGTGTGGAATTTTTTTAGATATCGACTAGTACGACTAGTACAAGCACTGAGGGAGAGAAAGAGAGTTGAAACCCTACACCCGATCCAAACCCACAATGGTGGGACCACCTCGCGTTGGACCAATGAGAGTAGGCAAATTGCTCTGAATCCCGCAATATGCACAAATGGATGTAAAGTCATCCGAAAGTTTTCCTGCCACATGACGACTCTGAAAATTGCCTTCAATTCATCAAGGTTACTGTATTCGTCCGGAAGATGCGGACAGTGGTCGCTTGGGTTATGAGGAGTACGGGTTGGCGCTCAATGCGCCGGAGCTTGGTCACGGACTAAATGGCGATGAGCATCCAGACGTAATGCCCTTTCACAAATGGCATTATCATTTTCGACAGTCTTTCCGCACCATGACTCGGCGGTGGCCACTGGTCGAGACAAAAAAAACGGAACGGCGCGATAACGACGAAAAATGGAGTTACGCGAACTTTCGATGGATCTGGATGCAACATCACGGGAATCGCCTACGGATGATTAAGGAGATTTACCAGGAAAATGAGAACGCATGGGCGCAGCGGTCACAAGAGGCACAATCTACCGAAGTAGCAGAGGAAAGCATGAGACACGACATAGTCATCTGCGACCGTGACGAGTTTCAAAAGTGGGACCACCCTATGCTTCTGGAGCCGTTGCGAAGGCACATGCTCGGCTATGCACCTTCGAGAAATGGCTTCACGGCAGAACCAGAGCCCGATCAGTCGGGTCCACCCGAAAATGCTCGGCAAGACCTGCCATCCTTGTTGGAATTTTATTTCAAAAATGACTGATCAAGTAAGTATGACATGATGTTGATGACGTTGACGACCGTACCTTAGTCTGCGGTCGACTCTAAAGGCTTTTTTCAACGTTCCTAGAGTTCTACTTGTGATTGATTTCTGACTGATGCTACGCAGACTCTGACGGTCACAGGTTGACCATGGTAGATTTAGTATGATTAAAGATTAAGATTTCTTATTCTTCCTCTCTGTCCTTGTTCCCACAACCTAAAATTGATTACAATAGAAGCTGGGTTGTTTACTATTACTCCTCTGACTTTATCTTGATCTGAATTTATACCATAAATATGTAAATACCTTTTTTCAAAAAATGACTCCCGGGTGCCTCCAGCAGTGGATTACTAGAGTAGTCCTCTCCTAAAGCATACACTATCCTTTGCTATCAGAAATACCCAAGGTGCGGTCTTCAAATGGAGCCAAGAATGCACACCGACGCATTGTTCTGAATCGAAACCAGCGTGCCATCATTGTCATAACTTCGCGGAAGTTCCAGTGTCAGACGATTCATGTGAGCGGTCACCGTGTTTGAAGAGCCTTAGATCAATGCGCATGCGTAGTCTTCGTTCTGAGGTGCTTAGAAATAGAAGAAAGTCAAATCGAATTCGAAATTAGTTCTTTTTGTTATTTTCGTTCTGGAAGACGAAGAGCAATGGAAATAGTAATAAGTAGAACAAACTACAACTACAGTAAGATGAACTCAATTTGAATGAAGCTGAATCATGCAGGACATGCTTCAAACGTTTTTTTGATGAAAGATTGATAGGGCTCTTTCTCTCGTATTTATCAGAATCTTTTTCTCCAGAATACGAGTACGGTCTTCTGAGATTGATGTTGACGGACATGTGACCCACCGTGATCAACCAAACCCAGGTGCTTTTTTTCTCCGGGGTTGTTGTGCGTATCGCAGCTGAAGAAATTGTCTCTTCATACTTGTAAATCTCTGACGAAAAAACTCTTCCACGCATTGTGCTTCTTACGTATCGATAAGATCATTGTTGGTTTCGTGCACGCCTATGCAGTTTGAGTCGATCCTCTGAACGAGGTAAGCAAGTTAGGCCTTGTATCATTTTCGTTTTTCTGTCGTAGTTGGCTGACCTATCCAGCCTACTTGTGTCGAGGATGTTGATATCTTTTTTCCAGAATGGCCCCAAAGGGCAGCCGAGGAATGGTGCGTTCGGGTTGTCTGCGAGAATCGTAGCAATTCTGGTATGCTCTTTCGCCTCCACTGCGCTGGGAAGTGCTATTCCCTTTCGTGCGACGGCTTTGCAGAACGGATATTACAATGCGCTAGTAACCGTGTTGACCCAGCGCTTGACCGATTCTGATGATCCGTATGTGAAGCACGTCGCGGATGCCTTTCTCATGCTCGGCCTCCCGTCACCGATGGAGCACTTAGAGGGGGATGCGTCTGTTGCCGGTTCTGCAGCCGGTCTGCTGCCAAACGATAAGTCCCAATCAGTTCTGCGTTGGAAGGAGCGCTTAGAAGAATGCATAGACGCTATGCTCATGCCAGAAGAATATCATGAAGATTACGGTCATTGGGATAAACAGTACTGGCAGCTGCTACCGATCTGCATGGGTACTTTCTCACTTGCTACTGTAATTGTCGGCTATTCATCTTGTGATGAGTGGTATTGCGCTGATGAGTTCCTCGTGCGTAGACTTGGATGCTCAGTGTTTACAGCATGGGTTCGTGTTTGCTAGTGGATTCTTTCTGGAATGGCATACTGTGTGTTTCACTCATGTTACCCTCTCGCTCGATCGCCTCTGTCTAGTAATCATCTCAATATTTGATGTGGCTATTACTATTTTTGGATCTTCTTTTCTCTTTCACGATCATTCAGAGAATGCAGAGGCAACCCGTGACTTCACAGAGCTCGTGGGGATGCAGCCAGAGCAAATGGAGAATCAAATGAAGCAGGAAGGAGCTACTAGCATGGTAGGAGAATACATGCGCGCGCACCATTGGCATCGCCTGAATATGTTGCTCGAAATGGTGTCCGCAGAATCAACGCAGCGTGTCCCCAATTTCGGGCGCGTGCTAAAACGAGCGAAACAAATAAGCCGACCTGGAGACATATTCGCAGGTGCGCATTCAGGCTTCGTTTAAGTCGTTTTGCTTTATTTTACAGTTTTCGGAAATATGCTCCTTATTGCTGATACTATTGTGAAACGCCCTCTCAATACATCTATAATAATTATATATTTACAAGAAGTTGTTGTTGTACAAGTACTAGTCGTCTACTTTGTTCATGATCATCTTCTATTTCCAAATGTGTTTCGGAACACACGCTGGGGTAGTAGCCTGAATTCCCATTTGTCGTGATAATTCCTAAAGTTCTACTCCTGTTTATTTGATAAAAATATGGTAATGGTTGGTAAGCTTGTCAAGGTAGTGGGTTTTCCATCTTCTAACAGTCTTGATGTAATAGCCAACTTTTACATTTACATCAGCACGTCCTTGTTATAGTTTTTGTACAGTGTTCTTTCAGGTGGGGATGACTACGAAGGCGCAGCTGCAGTCTCTGCGTCGAGCGAGATGGACAAGCTCCTGGTCGTTCCAGCGACTGTTGTGCTACAGAGTTCGACTTCAAAGGATATCGTGTGCAAACATTTTCCGATCACGCCGAGAAGCACGAAAGCCGACGTCAAATTTTTCGATGGCGTCCAAGATCAGGTGCGTCGCTACATGTGTCGCCAAGGCTTCGAAGGACCGCCTACCCATGTCACGAAGCTGCGGTTGTGCCTGAAAGAGACTTGTAAAAATGCGATGAAGCCGCAGGAGTCGAGAGCTGGAGGAGCGCTGTCGATGTCCCGAGGACGTCGAGGGAGCGGTAGTCAGTCGAGCACCATTGCAGAGGTGGAACTGCATAGAGGCGATGTAGCAAGTAGCGGCTCTTCTTCTGGCTCCGCAGCGTGTGTCACTTCCGGCGATGACACCTTGGCGTCGTTGGCACTGAGGCATGTGTCATCAACCGGAAGCTCCATGTCAACGCATGAGAACCTGTGTGAGGCACTGGCAGAAGGAGCTATGCTGTTCGAGATGATCGTGCCCTCGGATGATTTCGACGAGCGACTAAAAAAAGGGGGTATTTTTTCACGCTGTTTTGGTTTTCTAGTAATCTTGAATAGACGCTTTCCTAAATTCATAACCGTGTTAGTTATCGGAAGATTGTACAAGTAATGTTGTTAATAAATGATTCTTCTTGTTAGAATACTTGATCATGCCTTACGCTTACACTTACAAGTTTTTTGGCGACGTCGGCCTTTTTAGCTGTGCGAAGTAAACGTCTATCGGCCGTGCCAAGTCGGCTAGCCAATATAGCTGACACTCATCGGTGCTTTTAAATGTTACCTTTACAAGTTTTCAACTGCACGTACGAGCAGGGACTTACGACCCAGCTTATTGCTGTCGATACTTTTGTCTCCAGGTGCCGCAGCTCAGCTGGTGTTTTCGCAAAAACTTCCGAAGAGCAGGGAACAAGTGAAGAGGCTTGCGGAGAACCAACGCAACCTCGGTTCCGGCCGTGCCGTCGTTGCCAAGTGCGTCGCGGTAGTCGCCTTGGCCTCCATGCTTGGTGGTGCTGCTCATCACAATATTGTCTACTGGCAGAAAGACAAAGAGGCTCAAGATTAAGGCTACACTACACGCACATCCTTGCCGAGTGTCGTCAGCATCCCTCGCTCTGTATGTTGTTCCCAAGGGTAGAAACACATGCTTCTACTAGAAGCGATGCTGGTGTCATGGAGGTCCAGGATGCGCACGCTTTACTTCCCTTTAACAATGGTGGGAAGGGATTGCGACAAAGCAAAAGCAGGAGATTGAAGATATCACTGCAAGGATGTCATCCCTAGAGAAATCAGCGACGGACTGGAAAGAGCTTGCGACGTCAAACTTCGAGTTCCTGAAAAAGCAAGAGAAGGCGTTTCTGAAGCTTCGGAATGCTTCAGAACAACGCGCGATGACATGCGAGAGGGAATTGGAGAGGAAAGACGCTTAAGACTATTTCCACAAAAATTCACCGTTGACTTGTGCATCTCTGAAAAATGAATATTTCATTACGGAGATATTTGTCTAAAGGTGTAAGGGTCACAAAGTAATCGTCGAAAATGAATTTTTGATGGCTGCTCTAAGAACAACTGAACGCGGCCTACCAGATACAACTCGCAGAAGCGTTCGACGCAGATCTTTTCTTCTTCAAGAAGATGACGAAATGGCTCGGGGAGACTTTCGTCCCGCCTGTATGAATGCGACGAACTGTTGAGTGCGATACATTGGATGATGGTACTTGTGAAAGCGGTGAAGGCGCAAGCCAATTATACTATTCGAGATGCGTGGTACAGTAGGAGCAAAGCGTAAGTAGAAGCGTACGAGTAGAAACGCAGGAAAGATTGCAGACCGTTTCATCACAGAGAAGGGCACCAGAACATCACAGAAAGGGGTCGCATGGAGGAAGCTACTGCGGATGAACGATAAAGATATGTGAAACATGTAAAATGTATGTTTTTTTTTCAAATGTTTGATTGTAACTAGTAGGTGTGGAGGGAAGTGTCGAAGTCGAACGAACAAGTACTACAACTACGAAACAAAGAAAGAGAATTTATGCTCGTAATGCTACTAGGTAATGCGAACAACAACAACATCCCTCTTGTGGATGATATTTTTGGATGAATGTCGTTATTTTTTCTATCCTCAAGGAATAAGGTCGTCTTCGTGGTGCTAGTATTTGGGGGAAATACACGAATATGCTCGAATTATGATGATAGAGAGGGTACTATTGAAAATATACAAATAATGATTAAACAATCCCTAGAATTTGTCTCTGCATAATGTTCGTTGTCTCTCTGTGCTTGTTATTTATTACAATCTCTTTATCGTGGGAGTTTGTGTAGTTTGTGTATGATATCTACCACTTCGATTGCACACTCGTATTGCAATCGCCACAACGGTGATGTAGACAGTAAGACTGCTCATTTGATAAATTGGCTTGATAGAAGAATCAGAATGCCATACCCATATTAGCTAGAAGAGGTCCGCTGCCCTTGCTGAGATCTAAGCTCTTCTCTTTATCTTCTACGAAGGTACCTAAATGTCAAACGGCCACTTCAATTCTGGAACAAGAATAGGTCACGAGGTAGTATGACGTGACATGACTGAAATGACACGATGAAGAACCCCTGGGCCGCAGCTCATTAATGAAATACTGGGCAGATTGTGGAGAGGCAACACTCTTTCATGACATTATGAAGAGGCAATTCGTCGGAGTTACAGGTACCAAGGACGCACTTTTTCACATTAGTTTTGTTTCAGAGATCTTTCGTGAAGAGACAGAGAGCACTCATTGGTCCACAAAGAGGCCGGGTGCTATTTCCATTCGGACAAGCAGACGCCCAAAACCAGATCGTACACACGAAAACATTACAGAAGATCAAAAATTTCCTAGATCAGAAAGAGATCCATTGAAGGCCAAAAAGATCATAATCGAAGAGATCCTCGAAAGCTTTTACCCACCCAATTAGAGGAGACCTATGGATCATGAGCGAGGAGAAGTAGAACCTTCATTAGTCCTTGCGGCGTCGGCGCATCACTAGCAGTAGATATTGAAGATTCTCCAGTACGCATACTCATTCATATACTTGATTTTGATGTTCTAACATTGCCTACAGGTCGTGGCTCTTATTTGTAGACATTTTAGTAGAAGGCCGACGGACTTTAGAAGTAGTAGTTGTCTGCCGTAGTTAGAAATACAGCACAAGACGCAATATAGAAAAGCGTATTCCTTTTTCGAGCGACGTTCTCTCTCTCTGATAATTACCACTCTTTTTTTTCCGTGAAAAATTTCTTTGTCATGTTTACTTAGAAAAATCGAACAGATTCATAAATTGCATACTGCATGTCTATATCGAGTCGCTCGAGGTGTTGTAGCCTCGTTGCTTACTTCTAGTACTTCTGCCTTTATTGACGACCTTGTCTCTAATTGCTTGATTTCCTTGGTCTTAGTGTGAGATTGAATCAAGTACATACACTTAGTTCGTTGTAGAGTTAGAGAAATCTGATTCAAAGTGGGATACGACTTTACAACATGAAGAAATTGAAATATTTTTTCCTTCAAATAGTGTGTGACTGATGAGTGGTTCAGGAGCAACGACAAAGTAGATTTTGATTTCTCCTTCACCTTATCCACAGTGAGCAATGGGCGGCTTTCCTGACGAAAACAAGCCACCCTCCACGACCCCAGCATCCGTGCACCATAAGAACGAACAACCTGAAACTGCCGCGCCTCTTCAGGGACCAAATCAAGGCGGCACCTCTATTGCACGTGGACTCGACACCTCTATTGCACGTGGACTTGACAATACTCCTCTCGACACCTCTATTGCACGTGGACTCGACACCTCTATTGCACGTGGACTTGACAATACTCCTGATCCTGTAGTTGGTGGGCTCGTCGTCGACAACAGTCGTCCTCCTTCGCCGACAAGACAGCAAGATGAGACAGATCATTCTAGTGCGTCTTCCTATTGGGTGCCCCCAGCACCACCGCCGACAGCTCTCACGGGAGCATTATTTACAACGTCAGAATCGAGTATGATGTTGTTAGAGGAAGGATCGCATGATCGGAAATTGAACGATGGTGGTAGAGAAGACGAAGAGCCTTTGGAGCAGCTTCCAGGTCAGCAAGAGCAGGCTCGGGAAAACCCTCTTGGCGAGCAACGTGTTGAAACAAGAATTCATACAACTACCCAAATCGTGGTGGAAGATGATGAAGCCAGAGTTCGTTTTCCAGATGCTGATGCGGAGGGCTATTCTGGAGAGTCATGTACCTCTACATCGAGTTCCTATCCTTGTGCACCGCCGCCCACGCTTATTCAACGCACTAAAGAAGGCGTCTCCGCGGGACCGTCACCGGGAGCGCCGGGAAGCCTGCTTGCTCAACGTACTATGCTTTTGCAAGGAATAGAAAACGTGGGTCGTCGTGATTATGGTAAAAATGATGGAAGGAACATGATTGGCGACATTGTACTTGAGCGAGGTGGAGCAGTAGGAAATCCCAAGACAAGAACAAATGAGCCTCCTCCTCGTCCTCAACCTCATGGTCATGGGGAAGAAGGAACACCACAGGGAATCCATTTGCCCTCAGTAGGCGGTTTGCCTCGATTTGACGAGGAGAACCAAAACCAAATTCAGGAGCACCCCAATCTTCAACAAGAACAGCCGATAATTTTTCCTAATTATATTCCACCTCCTGGAGCAGCAGGTGGAGGAGCAGCAGAAGTTCATCGTCCTGACTATTTGCAACAGCAACAGCAAGCTGGTGATGTTGCTGGTGCTGCTGTCGCTTTCGATCAACCTCCAGTAGAACAGCAGGTTCCACCAGCAGGCGAACAGCAACAGCACCAAATGCAACCACAGCAGATAGTACAACTCGTGGAACAACATGCAGTTGGTCGGCGTGTGGCGATTGGTTCTACGGTTTTATTCCGCAACTACCGTGCAGTCAGAATCGAGCATTTCTGTGGGAGTGGCGCTAGTGCAGATGTCTTCAAGTGCATTGATCTCTTTTCAGGAGAATTCTTCGCTCTGAAAGTGGTCTTTGCAAAAGATACCAGAAACCTGCAAATGCTCCATGCAGAAGTCGAAGCCCTACAGCAATTGCGGGAATGTCCCAGTGTGGTGAAGATTTTCGAAGCTGAAGCCTACCCTGAAGAGCTGGCCCTGCACATACTGTTGGAATTCGCACCATGCGACTTGCAGGCTTTTTTGAGAGTTGAAGCAGGCGGATCAGGCCAACGTGGATCCAAAGGCAAAGGCAAACGTTCTGAGCCAGGTCAACAAGGTGCTCCACAAGGTCAAGCTGCTCAGCAAGGTCAACTTCCTGCTGATGGAGTTGCTGGAGCAGGACCTCCTGGACCAGGAGGTGCTGGCGCAGCAGCTGAAGTCCTTGTTGGTGAAGACCAAGCTGCTGTTCTTGGAGGAGTACCTGGCGTGGTTTGTCCAGGAGGTCGAGGTTTGTCCTTGCAGCGCATTCGCGATCTGTGGTATGATATGGTGTCGGGCGTGGCTGCGATCCATGAACACGGTTTGGTCCACTTCGATGTGAAGCCTGCGAATTGTTTGATGGTTGGGGGACGCGTGAAGCTGAGCGATTTTGGTCTAGCACGAAGGTTAGACGAGAACAAAACGCACGTTTCGCGCCACGGACAATGCGGCACGCCGCGCTACATGGCTCCGGAAGCGTTCTGGCAACCGGAGGAGGGCGCGGGGTCGATGAAGATGCGTCCGCAGGCGGACATTTGGTCTTTAGGAATCATCTTGTATGAACTCCTGTATGGTCGCGGTCCGTATAAGCATTTTGAGGGCTGTGGGCGTCGATTGCAGTTCGCGATTGCGGACTCTAGGGTTCGTATCCGCTATCTGCAATGCGAACGCCACCAAGCAGAGGACTCTGAACTCTTTGGCCACTTAGTCGCTCTGGCTCAGCGCTGTCTGCGCCGCAAGTGGCAGCGTCGTTGGACCGCAGCGCGGTTACTCGAAGCACTAGAAAATTCTGTAGAACAGGTGGTGGAGCAAAAATCTTCTTCTTGTACTACTCCAAACAAGGTTGCAGGGGCAACACCAACGACCGGAACAAGTATGCCGGCGTCGTCGTCGCCTGACACAACGCGGAACTCCCCTGCCTCTAGTGCTGTGCGAGGCAGACTCGACGAAAACAAAGAACAAATTTTGCAACCAGCACCAGCTGCTGAGGGACAAGGAGTTGTGGAACAAAGAGATGGCCAAGGTGAAGATCTTGACAAGGACGAGAAGGAGATCGTCGAAATTGAAAGACAAACTCCTAAACCTAAGGAAATGAAGGATGTCGATCAAGCACCTCAAACACAGACATCCTCAAGTGAGGATCCTGAAAAATCTGAATCCTCAGGTGGTTCTTCTTCCTCCTCTAGTGCGGGAGGAAAGCCTCCCGCAGCCGCATTTGTTACTTCCTCTGAAGATGAACAAGTCATGGATCATGAAGGCAAGATGAATCCTGAAGATAGAACGTTTTTGGTTCTTCGAGCGGCGATTTATTTAAAACCACGTGGACCCTTATTGCCAGCTGCCGAGGCAGCGGGCGCACATGCCACTTGGACAGCCCCAGCTGACAGCGCAGATTCCATGGAAGACAGTTCCCTCGATGGTTGTGACCTACAGCTACAAGAACACTTTTCGGAGGAAGACGAACAAGCGGAAAGTCGACGTCAACTGCGGAGAAATGATCGTGAAGAGCATTGTCATCTTCTTGACTCGGCTTGTGATCAACAAGAAGAGGTTTTTGAAGGGCGAAGAAAGGCTTCTACTAAAACTACTAAAGCTTTTCGAGAAGACGAACAGCCTCTGCTTGAAAAGTACGCTGAAGATGATCCAACCCTAGGAGGCAATCGTTCTTGTACACTTTTTGGATGTACCTTGAAGAAGACGACTTGTTGGATCGGGATGTCTGTGTTGCTCATTCTGATCGCAGTAGGAATTACTATTGCAGTA